GCAAACTGAGCATGGGACCACCTTGATGAATATTCATAGCATCTCCTGTAACCTGCTGAATATGTATGTTTAGCCAACCCGTTCAGCATAAAGCTCCTACCCCAACTCCTCCTCCTTCCAACTGCCTGTCTCTGGTCTTCCCCTGGAGGTGATGTAGGATTTTTTTCTTGACCTCTTTGTTGGATGTGTTATGGTGGTGCCCAGTCTACTCGGCCCACCATACTCAACCCCGTGTGGGAAGGAGCAGGTGAGTGAGCAAGGGCAGGATCCGGCTGGCCACTTTGGGCATGGGCAGAAGCAGGCTACATGCAAGCACCCTGGCGGTGCCCAGGTCAGGGTGCTTGCAAACCCTGAAGCCCCAGAGGGCTTGTTACAATGGTCTCTTAGCTCCATTGTCCATGGACAGCGGTGTGTTATCAGCTAGGCTCCTTGCCTTGTCACCTGCAGTGGCTGCCCTCAGCCAGTGAGGGCAAAGGGCCAGTATGACAGCCTTTTTTGGGTACCCACACTTGGTGGGTCCCGAACTCTCATCTGGTGTACAAGAAGAATGAGGTCACCTGGATACTTGAAAGATAGTGAAGGAGGAGAATTTTATTAAGCAGTGGAAATGGTTCTCAGCAGAGGGGGGAGCTGGAGAGGAGATGGGACAGGGAGGTAATCTTCCCTTGAAGACTGGCCGGCTCCTGCTGGATCTTCCCTGTAGTCAAGCCATCTCCCCAGAGTTAAGCCATTTCTTCTCTGAAGTACAGCCATTCCTCTGAAGTGAAGTTGCCTCTCTCCGTCAAGCCACTTCCCTCCTCTATCAGCTGCGTCTGGGGTCTTTATAGACAAAGGATGGGAGAAGGGGTGGGCTGTAGGTAGTTTTGTAAAAAGCAACATTTGCTTGATAAAAAGATGCTATTCAGAAAGAACCAATCAGGACAGAACAGGCAAACAAGGATAGAAGCTGTCACTTTGGGCCAGAGGATTCAGGCTTTTCAGCTCAAAGGTAGGGTTTTGCCAGGGACCAGCCCTTGTCTGCTCAGTACTTCTCTACTTCCTGCCTCTGTTCGAGGCATGCTTCCCAGCTTGTGGGATGGTCACCTTGCAGTCTGTACCTTTTTATAAGAAATAAAATCTTCAAGCCGGGCGCGGTGGCTCAAGCCTGTAATCCCAGCACTTTGGGAGGCCGAGGCGGGTGGATCACGAGGTCAAGAGATCGAGACCATCCTGGTCAACATGGTGAAACCCCGTCTCTA